GTCTCCGTCACGGCTGGTACACCATGATCACCCCTTGTCGAAGTCTGAGTAGGTGAGAAGATGGGGCGGGAAGATCCCGATCCCGATCCTGACCCGGATCTGGGTCCGCTGTTGGACGAGTCGTTTTTCTCCGTCCCGGCGACTCGGGACGCCGCGGGCAAGGCAGGAGAAGAGATGTGATGGTGGATAGGCGGGGGCATGGAGTTCGGGCCGGAGTGTGTCACCAAGGGATTGGCGCTGCTTGCGGGCACACCAACCACAGCGGCATGTGAAGGTGCAAACGACTCGATGGCGCTTAGCGCCTCGGCTATGAATGTCAGCTCCAGCTGTCCCGCCCAATAACCACCATGGCTTGCCACTCAGCCACGGGGTATCGAGGGTTCTATGCAGCCGAACCCACCTCTCTCTGAGGACGTTGCCTCGACCTGCTCGATCGTCTCCATTGCGCTGCTCCCCATCGAAACATCCACAGCACTCGGATTCAACACCTCTCTAAGATCCATCGGGCTCCCCCTCTCCGGCTCTCCGTGTGCGAGTGCTTGCGGTCCCAGTGTAGGAGCGCCATGTGCGTGCGCGAGGAACGGCCTCAGCTCCATGTCCCTCGAGTCGGCCGTGCCGGAATGGGAGGACGAGAGGGTGAGGGTGTTTGGCGAGAGTGCAGAGATCCCTCGAGCCTCTTGCGTGGAGAGGCGGAGCGCGAGGGCGAGATCGGCTGCTTCGCGGCGTCTACACCGCGGGGCGCATTGTCAGTATTCCACCGGATTGTTTCACGTCAGGTAGCGATATAGATCAGGAAGGTGTGCGGGAGACGCTGCACCCGCGCAGAGGGGCTCATGCGGGTTTGGTCGGAAGACGCCCGAGCCAGTACTCACCTTGACATGCGCGGCCAGTGCCTCGGCTCGGCACAGACTCTTCTCTCACTGGATCGGAATGTTGCCTGTGCCTACCTAGCGCGACACTCGACTTGTCCAAGCAATTCCTTACTTGTTGAAATCACCAGTAAGAGCGAGAGAAGGACAACAGGTGGCAAGGAAGATCAAGTGTTGTTGGACGAAAGAAATCACAACCCTCGGTTGGATCAACGCGTCGCACCACTCGGATCACGTGTCCGACTCATCGTTACATAATCAGCGAGATTTCGGCAGCCGGCCGTGAAAGCGACCTTTCCGATCTCTCTCGCTGCTCTATGTTCCCAACGCTCGACTTTGTGTCTTACTCACATCCTCGTCTTCTTTGCATCTTGCCGACTACAGTTTCGATATCGAACCACCATGGCAGGCCCGAACCGTGAGTCCCCACAAGGACTCTCGGCTGCCCCGCTGACGGTGTGACAACCCCCGCAGTTGAGGTCTTCAAGTTCGGCTTCTACATGTTCTTCCCGATCTACATCATGTTCAAGTTCGGTGACCCGCAATGGTACGTCGTCACTCTCTGTACTTTGTCGCAAGTTCTCGTCGTCACTCTCTTCACTCTATGGCACGTTCTTGTCCAGCAACATGTTTTTTATATTCCCCGCCTTCGTCTCGTGTTCTTTGTGCCTTGTCACTCGTCAGCTCACTCGGACAGGTACAATGACTATGTCCTGCCGGTATGTCCATCTGACACGAGTCCAAGGCGACAGTAGAACAGTAGAGTCCCCTTAGACCCGCGCTGATCCGCACTAGTACAAGGAGATCATCTGGCCGCCATACGAATCTACGCATGTAAGTGTACTTGGCCGCTCCCGAGTCTCTCCTCCGCTCCGTCTGAACTCTTCCCTCTCTCCCTGCCCGGCCTCTCGACTTATCTTCTTCGCTTGACCCAATACTCGGCTCACCACCTAACCCTGCGACTCAGAAACCCCCAAGATCCACGGCAGAACTACATGAGGAGCTCGCGCGTCTCAAGGCGGAACGTCTCGCCCGGCAAGCAGGACAGGCAGGACAGGCAGGGCAGGCAGGGCAGGCAGGCAGGGCAGGACAGGATGTCGGTGCGGAGTCGGGCGGAAAAGTTGCAGAGGAGTTGGCAAAGGTGCGAGCGGGGTCGAGAGCGGCCGAGCCTGCGACGGCTGGAGGGCAGAGATCGGAGGGTGTGGTGGTTGGAGAGACACCGGGGCAAAACGGGAGATGGGATTGGGCCACGGGTGCGACGAGACGATTGGTATGATCTGGTTGAGCAGGTCTGGTTGGATGCACACTTACACTCCTCCATCTTGTGATGCGTTGGTCAGCGCGGCGCAGCGCTGGACAGCGCACTTCCACCAAGAGTTCAGCTGTGGCTACGCTCAAGCCTGTGGACTGTAGATGAACATTCGACATCGACGTGCGGTTAACCAATAACGAGGCAGTGATCGTAAACGTGAACCCAATCCGACCTGGACCAATGGATTGAAACGATGCCTTCATCTCTCACAAGTCTAGATGACGAGGCAATCGCGGCCTCTATGAAAGCGGTAACCCTGCCTCCGCACAGCCGCTTTGGCCTCCGACCCCTTCGGCGGCACTTCCACGACGATGACGGACACATGGGTATACGGGGGAGAGAGCAAGTAGAGAAAAGCGGCTATGGAAGACTAGTGGAGAGGGAGGGAGGTAGACAGAGAGACCTGCTGCTGAGGGTGATGATGTGGGTGGAGGGGAACAGACCGAGACGATGTCGATAATTTTGGGTAGACGCGGGAGCGAGAATGCAAAGAAACCCATGCAATGCGCTTAGATGAGGTCGGCGACGTTAAGGGGCATCTCGTCCACTTGGGTGTTGCTGCGACGGGGTTAGCAGACATGCCGCGTTGGGTCCCGCGATCGGGGACAACCCGAGGCAACTCACTAGAAGGTCTCGATCTCCCGAAGCATCTTGACGTCTTCGGTGGTAACAAAGTTGATGGCAACACTGATCTCGTCAGTTTGGGCCTTACAAGATATGAGACGGTGGTTCGCCAACTCACCCCTTTCGGCCGAAACGACCACCACGGCCGATACGGTGGATGTAGTTCTCCTTGGAGGCGGGGAGGTCGTACTGGCATATGTCAGCCTGAGAATCGAGGAAGCGGAACAATGCACGGTGCCCTGTGTACTCACGTTGATGACGAGCGAGACCTGCTGCACGTCGATACCACGGGCGAGGAGGTCGGTGGCGATGAGGACACGGGAAGAGCCGGATCGGAACTCCTTCATGATGACCTCACGCTGGGCCTGGTCCATGTCACCGTGCATGGCCGAGACGGTGAACTCGCGCTCGTGGAGCTTCTGGGTGAGCCAGTCGACCTTCCTGCGGGTGGAGCAGAAGATGACGGCCTGGGTGATGGTGACGGTCTCGTACAGGTCGCAGAGGGTGTCGAGCTTCCACTCCTCCTTCTCCACGGCGATGTAGAACTGACGGATACCCTCGAGGGTGAGCTCGTCGCGCTTGACGAGGATACGGATGGGGTCACGCATGAACTTCTTGGTGACCTCGAGCACGTCGGTGGGCATGGTAGCCGAGAGGAGAACGACCTGGGTCTCGGCGGGGAGGAGCTGGAAGATGTCGTAGATGGCGTCCTTGAAACCGGTCGAGAGCATCTCGTCGGCCTCGTCGAGGCAGAACATCTTGACAGAGTCCGACTTGAGGGCGCCACGGTTGATCATGTCAAAGACACGGCCGGGGGTGCCGACGACGACGTGAGGGCCCTCGTTGAGGCGGGCCATGTCCTCGCGGACGGCGGTACCGCCGACACAGGCGTGGCAGTCGACGTTGAGGTAGTCGCCGAGGGCGATGACGACCTTCTGGATCTGCTGGGCGAGCTCACGGGTGGGGGCGAGGATGAGCGCCTGGGTCTTCTTGACCGTGGTGTCAATCTGCACGGGGTTAGAACGACACGCCCATGCCGACAGCTGACAAACGCTGGTGACACGTTTAGGGACGGATCACTCACGCGCTGGAGAATGGCGATGGAGAAGGTGGCGGTCTTGCCGGTACCCGACTGGGCCTGGGCGATGCAGTCGCGGCCAGTGATGATGGGCATGATGGCGCGCTGCTGGATAGCAGAAGGGCGCTCGAAACCGTACGCGTAGATACCGCGGAGAAGGTCGGGCTTCAGCTCCATGTTGTCGAAGCTGTCCTCGTCAGCCAACACGACACAAAAGAGATTACCAGATCTCAACCACCATCGTCGGATGGTAGCTGCTAGTACCGATGTCGATGCCGTTGCCACTCACTTGTCGACGACCTGGTCCCAGTTGGACTCGATGAGCTCCTCGTTGATCTCGAGGCCGGCCTCGCCGGAAGGGTTGTTGGTGCTGTCGCTGTGTCAGCGGCGGAACGAACAAAGGGTGATGTCGCGGGGTTTCGTTGTCGCCCCGACGCTTCACCCGAGCCGCTGCTTGTTCTTGCGAACCCCAAAGCCATCCCCATGCACCGTCTGTCTCCCACCTCAACCTCTACTAGAGCCTGAACCTCCCCTCCGCGAGTCCGTACCCGCTGATCGCCTCAAAAAGCTTCATGACCAACCAACCAACCACCCAAATCCTCATCCTCATCCTCATCGCCATGCCATCGCCACCGCGTGACCTCCCTGCTCTGCCCGTTCATCCGCCGGGACTCACTCAGCCATGATTGTTTTTCTTGGTTGTTTTTGGATGAGCGCTTCGTCTCCTAGACAAAGCGAGCTCGTGCGCGTTTTTTTGAGTGGTGAGGTGTGGTAAAGCGATTGGGGTTCCCGGAGGAGATATGGGAGAAAGAGGAGGAGGACAAGGGATTTCTTTTATGAAAATCTCCCCCCCGCCCCCGTCACAGGGCCTTGTCCCACGCGCCGCCCTCTGCACTCTGTCCTCCCTGCCTCGTGCCTCTCGCCCGGCAAAAGTTCACGGCGTTACAATTTCATTTCGCCGAATGTGGCACCGAGCACCGGAGCCTGATGCGGAAGCTTTTTTTTTGTTGACAACGTATGAGCAAACCATATTACCCGAGTAGTAGTTACTCGTACAGTATTGCGGCAGCTGCACCAACATACTCCTCAGCTCACTCTCTGCTTCTGGGAGCCAGCAATGGACGCGTAGTGAGTAGTAGCCGTCCGGTCTTGTCCAACACCGCATCGGTATCGTCGTTGACGGCTCGCCTCCTCCCAGTGGCTCCCAACGTCCTGCCCATAGCACCTCACACGGCCCACAGACCAACGGGGGTTAGGAAGCTCCACATCCAGAACCTCGTGGACTTGCTGCACGCCTGTCTCCTGCGGGGCGAACTCGACCGAGCGAGGAGGGCCTGGGCGATTCTGGTGAGCAGGCATATGAAGGATCAAGCTGCCGGCGAGCGCTGACCCGACCCGACCAGATACGATGCCGTGAGGTCGACTGGAAGGAGCGGTGGTATTGGGGTCTCGCCCTGTTCTCGTCCACCGAGCCAAACGACTCGGATCCCGCGCAGATTCAGAGTCAGTCAATCTCGCAGGACTTGACGTATAGGGCCGCAAACGATGAGGGCAGAGATGCCGAGCGGTGGCTCCGCACGCTCAGGGTATCCGCCAAAGAAGCCGACGTGAGTGTTACGGAGGGCCCAGTCGCAGCTCCCAGCGATATGTAGCTGATTGTCGGCCTCTGCGCCACAGCGGCCGGCCCTCTTACATGCACTCGTGCTCCACCTCATCAAACATGCCCGCTACCGCGATGCCCTAGACGAACTGGAAACGTGAGATATATTCAATGGCTCGACCCCCAATTGCTTCGCCGGGATATTGACATCACCAGGTATCTCACCTCGTACCCATACCTCCTCTCGTCGTCGCTGCACACCTACGCAGGTCTTCTGTCTTTCTACCTATCCTATCCCGAATCAGCGCGCAACCCTGCGCACGCCAGCCCCTCTCAAGCTCATCTCGCACGCACACCGCCCCGCACACTCAGTCCATCCAGCTCGCGCTCCCCTTCGGCAGCGCCGTCTGCGTCGGATCGAGGACGACCGCGCGCACCGACGAACCCGATGCTATCAGCCCAGGCGAGGGCTTGGTTTGTCCAAGCACTCGAGCTGGATCCGGAGGTTCAAGTGGCGAAGGAGTTCATCAAGATGGTATGTGACCCTCTCCGAATTCTTGCCCATGCGTCAGGCGGTTTAATTCTGCTTGACCGTGGCGAGGCTCATCTCCTTTCTCGTGCAGATCGATGCTCCGCACGAGGAAGCCATCTCCGATGACGGCCTGATGGAGATGGACGAGGACGACGAGGACAAATCGGACGGCAACAAATCCGATGAAGACAAATTAGCCGGTCAGGACTCGTCGCACTCGTCGCACTCTTCGCGGTCGACAGTGCAAGTAGATGGTGCGTTCGACGAGGACGACGTCGAAGTGGAGGACGAGGACGAGGATGAAGGCATGGGGTAGGGCTTCGCTTCGGGCCTCGGAACAGGACAAGAGTCCGACGAGTCGAATGATGTATAGTAGTGGCCTTGATTTACCCGCTGACCTCCAGCGCCTGCCTTTCTCATATGGTCTGGCACCGCAAGCCGTACTAATCGACTAAATGGGCGTTGCAGTTCTGCATGACATACTGACATGCTCGGGAATATGTCAGGACCTCGCACCCGGGGTCCAGTACCAAGCTTCCCCTCAACACGACGCTCACCACCCCTTTCTCCGGTTCCGATCCTGGTCCCCGGCCTGGTCCCACGGCACACCACTAGCTAGCGGTGTATTGTCCTCGCTGATCGTACTCATACTATACCTTCCCTCTGAGTTGCCTCCTGTTCCCCCCGTACTAGGACCGGGGCTATCGAGCCTACTCGAATCCAGTTCGAGCCCCGTGGCACGTCGTAGTCTCCCAAGGCTGACCAGTAGTGTCTCGACGTCCGCTTCCAGCCTCCTCTCTTGCTCTCTCTGCTTCTCTTTCTCCTTACCCGACATCCGTCCCTGCTCTTGGGCTTCGCCGAGGCCTCGCGTGTCGGCGGCAGACTGTGGGAGCGCCGATTCGTCCACGGACACGGAAGGAGGAACGACCGTCGATCCTCTGGCGAACGACGCTGTCCTCGTCGACTTTGTGGGACTGTCGTTCGACCCGGGACTGTTCATCGGCGTGGAGAAGAAGAGCCTTCCGTCGCCCGACGAGTACGAAGAGCCGGGAGAGAATACATTGGAACCTGTATCCCGTCTCGAACCGCGTTGGGCAGGGGCATATGATGACCGGGGTCGATTGCCCGACCCCGAGACCGACCCGGAGACCGAGACCGATGTCGGTATGTCACTCCGGTGCCGATCACGACCTGATGTGGATCTGCCGAGGGAGATGGACGTCGGATCGATCGCCATCGCCGGATCGGTCTCCCTCCGCCTGCCTATTTCCGGTCGGATCGAGAAGGGAAGGGAATTCTGCCGAGCGTGTTGCGGCCTGAGTCCAAGACCCAGCCCGACGCCGTATCTGTGTGTCGAAGGAGAAGGATATAGGGATGGTCCCAACGTATCTGGCTCGTCGATCGTAGGAATGGGTTTTCGCCTCGCCGAAGGAACCCGAGGAAGGGCGTTGGATACCGTCACGTCCCCCGTACGGAACACTGGCACTTCCCCAACACGCAGAGGACCCGTATCGAAGCCGTGGTCAGAATGCGAGGTGGAAGCGGGTCTTGAAGGTGAGGGATCGGCGGTGAAGTTGTAAGGGTGGTGGAGGCGCTGTCTCGGACGAGGGTGTAGGGTCGGTGAAGGTGCAAGTTGAGTGTTCTGACCAAGTATCGATGTCCGATCGCGAGCAGGCAGACCAGGTGGCAGGGTCGAGGGAGGGAGTGGGAACGGTGCGGCAGGGTACGGTGAAATCGCCAGACTATCCGTCAGGCTCGCATGTGCCTCTACCACGCGCGAGTGTGCATCCGTGTCGGGATCCAATGGGACATGGGTCGGAGCAGGCAGCTGGGGAGGCCACGGATGTAGGTCTGCCTCGTCCACAGTCACCCGCCGAGGAGCGTATATCGACCCAACATTCTTCTTTATCGACATCTCGCCTGCGGGATCGTGACCCTGACCCTGACCCGCACGACCCACCAGCTTCCGAGAGCCGAGAGCGAAAGCGGACGGTGCGGCGTTGGTATCCGCCCGCGCGTCTGGTGTCGCTTCCGGTGCGCGAACGCCAGGACTCGGACTGAGGCGGAGGCGGTCAAGCGCGAGAGAGTCGAATGTTGAGCCGGTGAAACTCAGCATCGGAGCTCGTCTGGCAGGCTGCGGCGGTCAGCTCGTCGATTGGATGGTCGTGACGAGGCGAACACCACGAGACGCAACGAAAGCGGCGACAATCAGGCTTACCATTCGGAACACGACCCTCTCTGCGGGTGTGGCAGACCCCATCCCACTCCCACTGGTCATACCCGTCTCAGCCGAGTTCAACGCCACGAACGCCTTTGTTCCGCCCGACTCGAGGACACGGAAAGTGCCCGCCACGGGTTCACCGATGGCTCTTCTCAACGACCTGCGTGCTGCACTGCGTGCATCGCGAGCAAATTTCAATGGCGGTGCGCGATGCGGTTTCGGGCCGGCGCCGGCGCCGGAGCTCTCCAGTGCCGAAGCGGAGGGGGAAGAACGGGATACCCATATGAGACCTATTGCGAGGATCGTATGGCCAACGAGTCGGAGGATCTGCCGGGTAAGGATGACGCCGTAGAACGAAGGCGCGAAGGTGAGGAGGATTTCCGCCGCAGCGAGGATCCAACCGAGCACGACGACTATCCATGGTGCGACTCCCCTCCCCGTTCGCTCGGCCCACTGCGATCTAGCCTGCGGGGAAAGCGCCACAACCAAACCCAAGATGGCGGTGATGAGGAGAAATGCGGCTCCTGCTCCCGCGCCGAGAAACGCGAGGGTGGTATGGACGCCCTGTCCATCGGGAAACGACACCGTGACGCGGTCCCGGAACGTCCGGTATTGGGCGCCGAGGAAGCTGCTGAGGAGAGAAGAGAATACAGCGGCGGGGATGAGTGGCGCAGCCAGCGCGATGTAGAGGATGGCGGAACGGACGGAGCGGAATGGTATGGGGAGGCGAGCACGGAGGCCGAGGGTGTGCGAGAGGGACGCGAGGTGCAGGAACAGAAGAGGCAATGGGGATGTGATGGCTGATAACGAAATCAGCATGGGTCATGGGAGGAGATGACATCTGGTTCGTTCGGTGAGGACCTACCGAGCGCGCTATCTTCCACGGCAAAGGAGCCTGGACCAGGCGGCCCCAAAGCGAAGAGCAAGTCCCATGTGGCGAGGGCGGTGTGGAGTAGTATCTCAATAGCGAGGAGGATGAGCGGGCTAAGGGGATCAGCCACTCCCACGCTTCTACTCCCTGCTGCCTCAACATGCGCGGTCAAGCACGGGCGCTTGTGCCACGTCTGCGCTCCGGACTCTGGGTGTAACCATGGACGACGAAGAATGAGCTGGAGGAGGTGGAGACGGAGACGAATGTCGAGCAAGCTGGGCCGACTCACGCGGTGGGTTGATACCATGCCGCCGCGAAGAGCAACGGCGCCAACACCGTCTCTACCGCGGAAGGGATAAAGGCGCCTAGATCAAGGCTCAGCGTCGGCATCACTTCACCCACTGGGACGGAACCCTCTTCGCGAGCCAGAGATCTGCAAGAGGTCTGCGACGGCAGCAGGGCAGCACGGCAGATCTTTTCGTGGCTATGCTGCGCGCTGCGCGCTGCGCTCTGCTCGCTATCGCCGTCGCCGTCGCCAGCGCATCACGCACCGATCCGATCGTTCGTGCTCAGCCCTTGACACCGCAGGTTCGCCACTGCCGAGAGACACTGCGTCGCCGAGCTGGAGACCATCCCGCCATCCCGCAGCGGGCCGGGCGGGCGTGTGCGGCTGGAGGAGGCGGCGCGGGAGTCGAAAAGCTTGTGTGTTCGGTGCTAGGGTGCTATGCAGGGGACCCGACCAGCGGGTGGAGAGTATGTCGTGTGGTTCTCAATCTCAATATCTAGCCCAGTTTTCGAGGCGATGTGCAGGTGCAGGTGCAGGTGCGGGTGCGGGTGTGGAGCGACAGTGCAACACTGCAAAGTGCTGGGTCGTGCACTGGCTGTTGGCGTTGCTGTCGAGCCAACCTCGACGACAGGCATCGCATCACCCCATCATCACCCAAACAGTCTGCGATGGTTACAGTTACCCAGTGTCACGTATGCTTGGCCGTGCCGTATCCCGTACCCCGTACCGTATCCAGGATGCGTCGCCATGCGGGGTGGGACATGGTCACGGCGGCGCAGCAGACCGAAGTAGGAATAGCAGAACCAGAGCCAGAGCCAGAGCCAGAGAGAGCCATGGCAGAGGTACAGGCACATCCCGGTGAAGAAGCATGAAACGACTCGGACCCTCTGACCCCTCCCCGTCCTTCTCCCCATCCCCTCTGTCTACGTCTGCATCTCTGCATGCACCCATGCACCCATACACCCAAGCCCCATGCACCCCCTTACTCGGCAGCCTCGCGCAGCTTCCGTTGTCTCCTCGTCCTCGTCGCCGAGCTTACAGTACCAGGGAGAGGGAGTCGGGCCGTCAAAATCTCAAAATCAGTTATCATTCGAGGCGTGGGACCAAACGGGAGACATTCGGGACCAGGTGGTCGTCACGCTTCGGATCCTTTCCACGCGACAATCAGTGAAGGGCCCAGAGCACAGAGCGCAGAGCCCAGCACGGAGCACGAGCAGTGAAATCAGATTTGCGGGCGCAAAGAACGGGCCTTGTGCCCTTGTAACTTGTCCCTGCGTCACACGACTCGGCCGTACCTGCGTCGAAGTCGAGACCTAGCAACCGCTTTACACTATACTCGTACAGGTACGGAGCCTGTATATCACTGCCAACTCCAGAAGGGTTCGAGGTGATCATCAAATCGCGCTTGATGCTTGGGCCGAGGAAAGTGTATCGCGACAGACAAGCGATGGACCGCGCACGTTGACGATGCACTTGTGTTGGCGATGCACTTGTGTTGGCGGTACACTGATACAGATGCATGACGCCCCGACCCAACCCGACGACCGAACGCGACGCGACGTGATGCGATGCAATGCGAAGCAGCATACACCCCTCAATGCTATGCAGTATCCTCGATCTGGCTCATCGCCGCCTGAGTCAATCACATCAGCTCGAACCCACGCCAACTTGTCCCGTAGAAACAGACCGACACGGACACCGAGGAAGTGTGCATGTGCACAGGCCTCGCTCATCACATACCTGTGCGAGCGTCATGTCGAGCGCTCCTCGGAGCTTCATCAGATCCCTCTCGAAGCCGAGCTCCCGCTCTATCCGGTTTTGCATCTTGCCAAGCATCTCGTCGATCACGGGTGATTGCCCGAGAACGGGGGTGTACAGGTCTATGCGGGTGTTAGCGATGATCGCGAACTCACTGACACGGGCAAAGGCAAGGGTACA